GTGGCGTGTTCCTTGGTGGTTTCCATTCCTCAAGGATGCGCTAAGGTGAGAGGTCGCATTGAGCCCGGGAAGCAGAGGATTGCAGTGAGCTTCTGATTGGAGCCATGCCTCCAGCCTGGACAACAGGAGAGAAATCCTGCTCAAAAACAAACAAAAAAAACAAAAAAAAAAAAGAGAGAAAGAAAGAAACATACAATAACTAAATTCAGTATGGGAGACCATTTTATGTATTCCATCAGATACATTTTTTTTTTTGAGACAACGATGTCATCGACTCTGGATTTGCACACAGGTTGAAGTGCAGTGGCATGCTCTTGACTCAACTGCAACCTCCGCCTGCCCAGTTTCAAGCGATTCTCCCCTGCCTAGCCTTCTCAGTAGCCTGGGATTACAGGCCACGTGTACCATGGCCGGCTGACTTTTGTTTTTTTCTTTTCTTTTCTTTTTTTTTTTTTTTGAGATGGAGTCTCACTCTGTTGCCCAGGCTGGAGTGCAGTGGCCAGATCTCAGCTCACTGCAAGCTCAGCCTCCCGGGTTCTCACCATTCTCCTGCCTCAGCCTCCCGAGTAGCTGGGACTACAGGTGCCCACCACCACGCCTGGCTAGTTTTTTTTATTTTTTAGTAGAGACGGGGTTTCACCGTGTTAGCCAGGATGATCTCGATCTCCTGACCTCGTGATCTGCCTGCCTCGGCCTCCCAAAGTGCTGGGATTACAGGCTTGAGCCACCGCGCCCGGCCGACTTTTGTATTTTTACTTGAGACGGGGTTTCGCCATGTTGGCCAGGCTGGTCTCGAACTGCTGACCTCAGGTGATCCACCTGCCTTGGCCTCCCAAATTGCGGGGAATTACAGGTGTGAGTTACCACGCACAGCAGATACAAAATATTATCACTTTGACATGTAATCAATATAAAAAGGATCATTAAATATATATACCGAGTATATACCCACAAAAAATATAGATATACAAAGGATTAATGAGATAGTTGACATTCTTAATTTCAGACCAACTCTTCAAAAGCTGGTGTGGATCTCACACTAATGGCTCATCTCATTTTGCAAAAGCCACATCACGAGTGCTCAACACTCACATAGAACTCGTGGCTGCCACATTGGACGGTGCAGAGCTGGGCCTCCCTGCCTCCACCTGCTGGATCCAGTGGTTAAGGAAGGGCTGGAAAGTTCGAGGGCCAGAAACTACAACTCATTTCCCCTCCTGTACTGGTTTTCAGCTCCCAACCCAGTGAGAAACCTGACAGTGAAGGCTCAGACCAACAGCTCCCTCACCCTGACCTGGGAGGCCCCCCATGGCCCAGACCCACAGAACTCCACCTACTGGGTTGAGTACACCAGAGATGGTGGCAGAAGCGAGACTCGAAGCACAACAGACACCAACATCACCGTGGATGGACTTGAACCCGGTTCTTTGTACGTGTTTTCCGTGTGGGTGGGGAAGAATGGAATCAACAGCTCCCCGGAGACTGGAAATGCCACCACAGGTGAGAGGCAGTCGCCATTTGTTTGATCTCTTATTTGTTTAAGGGACGGTAGGCAGGAGAACGGGGCCGATTGTCCAGTCCATAGTCCCTCTGGGCCACATTGAGCCAGGTACCCACGTCCACATCTGGGGCAGTCTCAGCTCAGGAGATGAAGAAGGAATGAATGTCCGTGGTACCTCCAGCTGCGAAGCTGGAGCCGGTCTGTGTCTAGAACTCTCTAGAATGTGGACCATAATGCCCAGGAGCATCTTCCTGCACCGACAGGAATGTGTGGGGGCCAAGGCATGTTACCTGAGCTTTCAAAGAATGAGATACTGTGAGTGGGGACACTCTGACCCTCTGACTCTTCTTCTAGTTCCCAACTGTGTCACATATTGAGGCTGGAAACTCAGATCGTCAGCTCCATGACCCTGATGTGGACAGCTCCCTGTGTCTACACCTCCATTGTCCAATATGGTAGCCACTAGCCACATGTGGCTATTAAATTTAAACTCATTAAAGTGCATGAAATTGCAAATTCAGTTTCACATTTCGGGTGCTCAAAAGGCCTGTTGAGGGGCTCCCAGTACCCCCTTCATCCTCCACTGTGCTAATACCTACCATATTGGAAAGTCAGAGGCCATCTTCACCACCACACAAAGCTCCCTTGATTCTCTCTTATTATTTTTTTTTTTTTTAGAGCCAGAGTCTCGCTTTGTCACCCAGGCTGGAGTGCAGTGGCAGGATCATAGCTCACTGCAGCCTGAAATTCCTGGGCTGAAGCCATCCACCCACCTCAGCCTCCCAAGTAGCAGGGACTACAGACGTGGGCCACCACGCCTGACTAATGTATTTTTTTTAGAGATGAGGTCTTGCTATGTGGTCCAGGCTGGTCTCTAACTCCTGGCCTCAAGCAATCTCCCAACCTCCGCCCCCCAAATTGCTGAGATTACAGGCGTGAGCAATTGTGCTGGGCCATGGGGCCTCTCTTAGGCAGTGACTCCAGGCATAAAGGCTTCACCTTATGATATAATCTTGCAAGGGCCCGACCTCTTAATGCTATTCCATTGGAGATTAGGTTTCAGCTTATGGATTTGTGGAAGGGGACACACATATGGAGGCTATAGTGCTACTCAAATTATGACCTACCTGTGAGCTGCTTCAGTGTTCCAGGGAGCTGACTGGAAATGAGTCGGCGCCACCCCAGACCTACTGCTCAGAACCCGCATTCAACGAGATCCCCCGTGAGATGTGCACACATTAAAGTGTTTTCTTTTTTCTTTTCTTTCCTGTTTTTCTTTTCTTTTCTTTTTTTTTTTTTTTGAGATAGAGTCTTGCTCTGTTGCCCAGGCTGGAGTGCAGTGGTGCAATCTCAGCTCACTGCAACCTCTGCCTCCTGGGTTCAAGCGATTCTCATGCCTCAGCTTCCCGAGTAGCTGGAATTACAGGCACACGCCACACCATGCCTGGCTAACTTTTGTATTTTTAGTAGAAACAGCGGTTTTTTGTTTTGTTTTTTTTTTTGAGATGAAGTCTCACTCTTGTCCCCCAGGCTGGAGTGCAATGGTGCGATCTTGGCTCACTGCAATCTCTGCCTCCTGGGTTCAAGCGATTCTCCTGCCTCAGCCTCCCGAGTCGCTGGGATTACAGGCACCTGCCACCACGCCTGGCTAATTTTTGTATTTTTAGTAGAGAAGGGGTTTCACCATGTTGACCAGGTTGGTCTCGAACTCCCGACCTCAGGTGATCCACCCGCCTCGGCCTCCCAAAGTGCTGGGATTACAGGCGTGAACCACTGCGCCCGGCCGAGACAGCGTTTCTACTAAATCCCGTTGACCATGTTGCCCGGGCTGGTCTTGAACTCCTGACCTCAGGTGATCCACTTGCCTCAGCCTCCCAAAGTGCTGGGATTACAGGCATGACCCACTGCGCCCGACACATTAAAGTTTGAGAAACACGGTCTAGAACATACACTCTGCGTCTGCTGGCACCAGCAGTTGAACAAGAGCTAAGACCATGGAGGGCAGTTAGGGGCCCACTCCTGCCCCGTTTTGTTCTGTATCTCTGCCCACATAGGATCTTCTTCCTAATTTCTCAGCCCCCAACCCAGTGACAAACCTCCATATGAAGACTCAGACCAACAGCTCCATCACCCTGAGCTGGGACGTCCCCAGTGGCCCAGACCTTCAGGACTACACCTACTGGGTAGAGTACACTGGAGACGGTGGTGGAACTGAGACCCGAAACACAGCAAAGGCCAGTGTAACAGCTGAGGGACTCGAACCCGGAACCTTGTACACATTCTCTGTATGGGCAGAAAAAAATGGAGCATATGGCTCCAGGCAGAATCTCAGCATCTCCACAGGTAGGAACCCTCAGTGCCCACTCCCTGTTTTGGCGAGAGGTTCAGAACCGGCAGCAGCGGCGTGGCACCTCCTCTGGGCTCTGGCTCTGTAGTCCGTAGGCTCTTTAGCCTCACTGAGCTCAGACACCCCCCTCTCCAAGTTCACAGGTAGATGTAATCACAGCTGGGAGCTGGCTCTGCCCTGAAGAAGAAGACAGCCCGTGCAACGTCTCCTGCCACTGAGCGTGGGGCTTCGGGGGCACAGGCCTTTTCTTTCTTCCCCTTCCCCTTCCTCTTTCTTTCTTTCCTTTCCTTCCTTCCTTCCTTCTTTCTTTTCTTTTCTTTTCTTTCTTTCTTTCATTTTTTCCTTCCTTCCTTTCTTTCTTCTTCTTTCTTTCTCTCTTTCTCTTTTCTTTCTTCCTTCCTTCCTCCCTCCCTCCCTCCCTGCCTTCCTTTTCCTCCTTTCCCTCCTTCCTTCCTTTCTCTTTCTTTCTTTCTTTCTCTCTCTCTCTTTCTTTCTTTCTTTCTTTCTTTCTTTCTTTCTTTCTTTCTTTTTCTTTCTTTCTTTCTTTCTTTCTTTCTTTCTTTCTCTGTCTCTCTCTCTTCCTTCCTTCCTTCCTTTCTTTCTTTCCTCTTTTTTTTTTTTGAGACAGGATTTCTCTCTGTTACCCAGGCTGGAGTACAATGGCACAATCTCAGCTCACCGCAACTCAGCCTCCTGGGCTCAAGCAATTCTCTTGCCTCCGCCTTCCAAGTAGCTGTGACTACAGGCACGCACCACCACACCCAGCTAATTTGTGTATTTTTAGTAGAGACAGGGTTTTGCCATGTTGCCCAGACTTGTCTTGAATTCCTGGCCTCAAGTGATCCACCCACGTTGGCCTCCCAAATTGTTGGGATTACAGGCGAGAGTCACTGCGCCTGGTCTCTCTTTCTCTCTCTCTCTCTCTCTCTCTCTCTCTCTCTCTCTCTCTCTCTCTCGATGATCCTGCTCTGTCTCCCAGGCTGGAGTGCAGAGGCACAGTCATAGCTCACTGTAGCCTGAACCTCCCAAGCTCAAGCGATCCTCCCACCTCAGTCTCCCTAGTAGCTGGGACTACAGGCATGTGCTACTGTGCCCAGCTAATTTGTTTTAATTTTCAGTAGAGCTAGGGTCTCACTATGTTGCTCAGGCTGGTCTCAAATTCCCAGGCTCAGGCAGTCCTCCAGGTTTAGCTTCCCAAAGTGCTGAGATTACAGGCCTGAGCCACCGTGCCCTGCCAGGAAGTATTTCTTAATGAGCTGGGCTGCACAAGGACAGGGCATATCACTGTGTTCTGGACTCTTGGGGACTAGGGGACGTGGAAATCCTGACTCTGCTCCCTCTCCCAGTCCCCAACGCAGTGAGAAGCCTCAGCAGGCAGGACGGGACCAACAGCTCTATCACGTTGCGCTGGACAGCTCCCCAGGGCCCAGGCCAGGCTTCCTACACCTACTGGGTCTCATTAATCGGGGAGGGCATGACTGACCCCAGGACGCAAAACACCTCAGATACTGAACTCATCCTAAAGGAACTGGAAGCTGGCCTCCTGTACCACTTCACCGTCTGGGCCGAGAGGAATGAGGTCAGAGGCTATAACAGCACCCTCACTGCAGCCACTGGTGAGACACAGTCAGTTCTCAATACAACTCTATTAGGATGGGGGAAGGGAAAATGTGAAGGGACTTTGGGAGCTCCTTGGGAGACGAAGAGTTCCCATGGTCCCCTCCAGCCTCACCGGCCGGAGCTTAAACCTATAGGCCCCGTTCCTAGTGGGTGTCATTTCTTAGCAGACAGGGCTTTCCAAGCTATGGGACCTGTTTCTTCTCCCTTTCGGAAATGGGCTCTTTGGGGTCAGGGAGAGCCCTCAGTTGTCCAGAATCACCTCATCACCTCTCAGGAGCTGACAGTCACCAGCTGGACAATAGCCAACAGCTGGTCCCAGGGAATTAGATGAACCAAGAGGCCCCCATCTCTCAGCCTAGGCACAGTGGGTCCCACTCATGAGAAAATTCAAAATCACTCTGGAGACTAGCTTCATTCTTTTTTTTTTTTTTTTTTTTTTTTTAGCAGGCTTTTTTTTTTTTTTTTTTTTTTTTTTTTTTTTTTTTGAGACAGGGTCTTGCTCTGTTGCCCAGGCTGGAGTGCAGTGGTGTGATCATGGCTCACTGCAGCCTCGACCTCCTGGGCTCAAGTGATCCTCCCATCTCAACCTCCTGAGTAGCTGGGACCACAAGCATGAGCCACCATGCTCAGCTCATTTAAAACATTATTTTTTGTAGAGACAGGATCTCATTATGTTGCCCAAGCTGGTCTCGAACTCTTGGGCTCAAGTGATCTTCCTGCCTTGGCCTCCCTAGGCACTGAGATTATAGGAGAGAGCCACCATGCCTAGCCTGAACCTGGAACTCTTCAATCCTTGGTCATTTGGGCTAAAAAGATGAAATTTGTCAGCTCCCTCTAGAAAGGTGGTGTGTCTAGAGTGAGAAGGCACCCTACCTGGGGTTCCTGTGGAAAAGAAAATACAGAGATCAGATCTCAAGGGCCCTGAGAGGTGGTGGACTACAAATCCCATCACACCATGGAGCCATGACTTCGTAAGCTGCAGCGATACAGAGAGTCTGTGGCCTCATGGGAGTTGTAGTTTCAGTGGGTGGGATTGGTGTGCATTTGGGAAGAACAAAAAGATGACAGGGTGGGACCCAGGGCTGTAGCCAGGGGACGGAGAGGGCTAGGAGATTCTGGTCCCCACAATCTTTGGGTGTCTAGGCTCTTTCCTGTGGTTCAGCCTCCTTAGTCACTGGAGCCATCAATAATGGGTATCTCAGCTTTGCTGTGGGAGAGAGGCAGGCGGGCTAGGGTAGGAGGGTCTTCGAGGATACCCCCTTAGGCCTCTGTTCTCACTTCTCAGCTCCCAGTGAGGTAACAGATCTCCAGAATAAAACTCAGACTAAGAACTCAGTCACGCTGTGGTGGAAGGCCCCTGGAGACCCCCACTTTCAGCTGTACGTATACTGGGTCCAGTGGGCCAGCGAGGGACATCCCCAGAGGGGGCAATATCCCCGAGCGAATTGGGCCAACCAGACCCGCAGGACCAATGAGACACAGTACAAGGTGGAGGCGCTGGAACCCGGGACTCTGTACAACTTCACCGTGTGGGCAGAGAGGAATGACGTAGCCAGTTCCATGCAGAGCCTCCGTGCGTCCACATGTGAGACTCCCCTTCCTGCCTTCATGTGGTGAACTGGGCTTAGCTCAGGCCTTGAGGGCTGAGAGATGAATGGAATACAAATCCCATCAGGCCATGGGCCATGACTTCATGAGCTGCAGTGATGGAGGAGCCCAAGGCCTCATGGGAGTTGTAGTTTGGAGGGACTTGTGTCCATTTGGGGAGGACAGAAAAGGAGGGAAGATGAGGAATTTGGATTTGGGGAGGAAGGGATGGGCTCCTCTCAGAAAACTGGCCTGAGTAGTGGGGATAGGAGTGGAGGGGGTGGAAAACCACTTTGGATGGCGCTGCTGACCTCTTGCTTCCTTCACCCAGACCCAGACGCAGTCACCATCACTTCCTGCGTCAGCACCTCAGGGGGCTATGGAGTCATCTTGACCTGGTCCTGCCCCCAGGGAGGCTACGAGGCCTTTGAGTTGGAGGTGGGAGGACAGCGGGGCTCCCAGAACAGATCTTCATGTCGGAAGGGTGTGTCTGTGTCAGGTCTTGGGCCGGCTCAGTCCTACCCAGCCACCATCACGACCATCTGGGATGGAATGAGGGTTGCGTCTCCCTCTGTGACCTGCCACACTGAGAGTGCAGGTGAGCGGAGCCTTGTGGGCCAGGCAGCTACGATGAAATGCTCAGTAGACCCCATCATGCCCCGTTGTGAGGAAATCAATGGGACTCTTCTGTTTCTCATTTCCTTTGAAACATTGTTTTTATTTTATATTTCGAGATGGAGTTTTGCACTTGTTGCCCAGGCTGGAATGCAGTGGCATGATCTTGGCTCACTGCAACCTCTGCCTCCTGGGTTCAAGTGATTCTCCTGCCTCAGCCTCCTGAGTAGCTGGGATTACAGGCACGTGCCACCATGCCCAGCTAATTTTCGGATTTTTAGTAGAGATGGAGTTTCACCATGTTGGCCAGGCTGGTCTCGAACTCCTGACTTCAGGTAATCCACTCGCCTCAGGCTCCCAAAGTGCTGGGATTACAGGTGTGAGCCACCACCCCCATCTACAACTCACCACTTAAAGGTACAATTCAATGACTCTTCTTATATTCACAGCATTGTGCAAACATCATCACTATCGATTTTAGAACATTTTCATTACCCCCAACAGAAAGCTCACCCCGCTGAACCATCACCCCCTAGTTCTCCCATTCCCCAGCCCCCAGCCCTCGGAAATCTCTCATCCACTTTCAATCTCTATAGATTTGCCTCTCCAGGACATTTCATTAAAATGCAATCATAGAATGGGCACAGTGGCTCATGTCTGGAATCCCAGCACTTTGGGAGGCTGAGGTGGAAGGATCACTTGACCTCAGGAGTTGGAGACCAGTCTGGGCAACAGAGTGAGACCCTGTCTCTACATTTTAAAAAATTAGGCCGGGCGCGGTGGCTCAAGCCTGTAATCCCAGCACTTTGGGAGGCCGAGATGGGCGGATCACGAGGTCAGGAGATCGAGACCATCCCGGCTAACACGGTGAAACCCCGTCTCTACTAAAAATACAAAAAAAAAAATTAGCCAGCCGTGGTGGTGTGCGCCTGTAGTCCTAGCTACAAGGGAGGCTGAGTCAGAAGGATCACTTGAGCCTAGAAGTTTGAGACTGTAGTGAACTATAATCGGGGCCACTGCACTCCAGCCTGGGTGAAGGAACGAGACCCTGTTTCAAAAACAAAACAAAAAAAATGCCATCATAATTATGTGTTTCTTTGTGACTGGCCACTTTCACTGAGCGTAATTTGTTTTGTTTTTGTTTTTGTTTTTGTTTTGAGACTCACTCCGTCACCCAGGCTGGAGTGCAATGGTGCAATCTCTGCCCGCTGCAACCTCTGCCTCCAGGGTTCAAGCAATTCTTGTGCCTCAGCCACCCAAGTATCTGGGATTACAGGCATATGCCACCATGCTTGGCTAACTTTTTATTTTTTATTTATTTTTTATTTTTGAGGCAGAGTTTCACTCTTGTCGCCCAGGCTGGAATGCAGTGGTGTGATCTCGTCTCACTGCAACCTCCACCTCCCGGGTTCAAGTGATTCTCCTGCCTCAGCCTCCTGAGCAGCTGGGATTATAGGTGCCTGCTACCACACCCAGCTAATTTTTATACTTTTAGTAGAGATGGAGGTTTGCCATGTTGGCCAGGCTGGTCTCGAACTCCTGACCTCAAGTAATCCTCCTGCCTCTGCCTCCCAAAGTGTTGGGATTATAGGCGTGAGCCACCGCACCTGGTCCATCCATTCATTTTTATCCATTCCCTGATCCAGTTGATGGATCAGTTGAGTAGTTTCCACTTTTGACTGTTATGGGTAATGACACTAGGAATGTTTGTGGACAGGTTTTGTGTGGACGTATGTTTGTATTTCTCTTGGGTCTATACCCGGTAGTGGTACTGAGGGATCACATGGGAACTGTATGTCTAACTGCCCCCTTCCTTTTTTTTTTTCCTAATGTGGTTGTATCATCTTACATTAATCAATGGGATACCTGAAGAAGTTTGGAGTTTAGACTTTGGAAAGACCTAGCCATGTGCCAAGACCGTGGCCATAAGCCTCACTCTGCCCCATCGCTCACTCCCTAGGAATGGGGTTACTTATGAGATTGGGTCTCCAATCTGGAGAGAGACTGGGGGTTGACGTGGTGATCAATGGATGCTGTTTGAACTGGGCTTTGCCGGACCCCATTGCCTGGGAAGTTCTCTCCCTTAGTAACAAGGATCCCTGAGAGAACAGGTCCTCTAGTCCAATTCTGTGAGCCCACGTCCATGAACAAGTCTCCCCTATAGGTTGTAAGACTCTGCAGTTCCCTGTCAACAAGCACACTCTTCCCAGGATTGTTGAGAAGCTGCAGCTTGGTGGCCTTCAAGGCTGATGGAGATGGGCCATAGGCTTGAGTCTACCCTAAGACCAGACATTTAATGACAGGTCTTGGAAGAGCCGTGCCGTCAGTCTGAGAGCAGCCACAGACACCACACCACAGATCAGCCGGGCGCGATGGCTCACGCCTGTAATCCCAGCACTTTGGGAGGCTGAGGCAGGCGGATCACCTGAGGTTGGGAGTTCGAGACCAGGCTGACCAACATGGAGAAACCCTGTCTGTATTAAAAATACAAAAAATTAGCCGGGCGTAGTGGCATGTGCCTGTAATCCCAGCTACTCAGGAGGCTGAGGCAGGAGAATCACTAGAACCCAGGAGGTGGAGGTTGCAGTGAGCCGGGATCGTGCCATTGTGCTCCAGCCTGGGCAACAGGGCAAAACTCTGTCTCAAAAAACAAACCAAAAAAAAAAAAAAAAAAAGACACCACCAGATCTCGGTAGGCTCCGCTGCTGGGGAGCCCTTCCCCAGCCAGCAGGACCTCTGAGAAGATGAAGCCTCAATTCTGGGGAGAACAGAAGCCGTCCATGCTGGGGACGATTTCACAACCGGCGAAGTGTTTCCTCCGCCTCAGCACTACAGATGTTTCAGGCTAGATCCTTCTTTGTTGGGGGGCAGGGTGGGGGGGCGTCCTGTGCATTGTAGGATATTGAGCCGCACGTCTGGTTCCCACCAACTAGATGCCAGTAGCACTCCCACTTCCCAGCTGTGACAACCAAAAATGTCTCCAGACATTGCCCAGTGCCTCTTTGGGAACAAAATCACTCTTGTTGAGAACCACAAGTCTAAGCTAAGGAAGGTGAGAGTCACTTTTTGAGACATGATTTCACTCTGTTGCCCAGGCTGGAGTGCAGCAATACGATCACGGCTCACTGCAGCCTCCACCTCCCAGGCTCAAGTGATCCTCCTGCCTCAGTCCCCTGAGTAGCTGGGACTACAGGCATGTACTACCATGCCCAGCTATTTTGTTGGGGTCCTTTTTTTCTGAGAAGAGTCTCGCTGTGTCGCCCAGGCTGGAGTGCAGTGGTGCAGTCTCAGCTCACTGCAACCTCCACCTCCCAAGTTCAAGTGATTCTCATGCTCAGCCTCCTTAGTAGCTGGGATGACAGGTGTGCACCACCATACCCAGCTAACTTTTGTATTTTTAGTAGAGGCGGGGTTTTGTTATGTTGCCCAGGCTGGTCTCAAACTCCTGGGCTTGAGTGATCCACCCACCTCAGCCTCCCAAAGTGTTGGGATTACAGGCGTGAGACATCGCACCTGGCCAGGAGTCATTCTTCAGCACCCAGGTCACCTCTGAAAATGATGGACAGTTGACTTTTGAACAACGGTCCCCTACACAGTAGAAAATCTGCATATAACACCTGGGTGCGGTGGCTCACGCCTGTAATCCCAGCACTTTGGGAGGCCAAGGCAGGCGGATCATGAGGTCAGGAGATCAAGACCATCCTGGCTAACATGGTGAAACCCCATCTGTACTAAAAATACAAAAAATTAGCCGGGTGTGGTGGCAGACGTCTGTAGTGCCAGCTACTCGGGGGGCTGAGGCAGGAGAATGGCATGAACCAGGGAGGTGGAGGTTGCAGTGAGCTGAGATCGCGCCACTGCACTCCAGCCTGGGCGACAAAACGAGACTCCGTCTCAAAAAAAGAAAAAGAAAAAAAATCTGCATATAACATTTGACTCCCCCAAAATTTAACTACTACTACCTACTCTTGATTGGAAGCCTTACCAATAACATAACATATATTTTGTCTGTCATATGTACTACATATTGTATTATTTTTGTTTGTTTGCTTTTGAGACGGAGTCTCGCTCTGTCACCCAGGCTGGAGTGCACTGGCGCGATCTCTGCTCACTGCAAGACCCGCTTCCCGGGTTCACACCATTCTCCTGCCTCAGCCTCCCAAGTAGCTGGGACTACAGGCGCCTGCCACCACGCCCGGCTAACTTTTTTTGTATTTTTAGTAGAGACAGGGTTTCATTGTATTAGCCAGGATGGTCTCGATCTCCTGACCTCGTGATCTACCTGCCTCGGCCTCCCAAAGTGCTGGGATTACAGGCGTGAACCACCCCTCCTGGCTCTACTATATACTGTATTCTTATAATCAAGTAGCTAGAGAAAAAAAGTTCTTAAGAACATCCTAAGGAAGAGAAAATGTATTCACTATTTATGAAGTGGATCATCATAAAGGTCTTCATCCCTGTGGTCTTCGCGTTGAGTAGGCAGAGGACGAGGAGGAAGGAGGGGGGCTGGTCTTGCTGTCTCAGGGGTAGAGGAAAATCCATGGATAAGTGTGTAAGTATAACTGGACCCACGCAGTTCACACCCGTGATGTTCAAGGGTCAGCTGTAGTTGGACCAGGCTCCTGGGGAAGAGGAAAGGCTGGGCAAGGTTGGAGACAGATGACCAGATAAGACCTGCGCTCTAAGAGTTCCCAATGCCTCCTCCCCACAGGGGTCATTGCCGGAGCCATCGTGGGCATCCTCCTATTTCTCATCCTGGTGGGCCTGCTGTTTTTCTTCCTGAGGAGGAGGTGAGACTCCGCACGGGGCTGACCGCCTGGAGGGTGGGGGCTGGAGAAGAAGGAGGAGGATCCCTGGTTGCAGCCTCACCCCTGAGCCTTTCATCCTAACGTCCTTTTCCCAGGAATAAGAAGAACCCGCAGAAACCAGAACTTGGGGATCTGGTCTTCAGGTGAGCAGAAGGTCTCGGGGGCGCGTCGGAAAGAATCTGGTCAAATCAAGGGGTGTTTGCTGGCTGCGTCAGAGAGCTTTCCTTGAATATCCTGCCTAAAATATTCCCGCGGGGTGTGGCGGCTCACGCCTGTAATGCTAACACTTTGGGAGGCTCAAGTGGAAGCATTGCTTGAGGCCAGGAGTTCGAGACCAGCCTGGGCAACCTAGTAAGACCGCCAGAGGGTGGATCAGTGCATCTACCCACAAAGGTCTCAGAAGGGACCCATGCCTCTGCGACTTCTGCGACAGGGACCACAGCCCTTCCATCTCGACTCACTCCCCAAGCAGCCTGGGCCAGTGAATTCAGTTCTGGTCTCAACTCCTGGACTTTCATTCATTCATTCAGCAGAATTCATTCATTCATTCAGCAGAATTCATTCATTCATTCAGCAAATATCAGCTGAGCACCAGCATGTATCAGGCACTGTTCTAGGTGCCAAACAAACAGCTAATTAAACCAAGATTCCTGCCTGCCAGGGGCTTATATCCTAGTACAGGAGGTATCAATAAACAAGATCACCGGGCACGGTGGCTCACGCCTATAATCCCAGCACTTTGGGAGGCCAAGGCGGGCAGATCACGAGGTCAGGAGATTGAGACTATCCTGGCTAACACAGTGAAACCCCATCTCTACTAAAAATACAAAAAATTAGCTGGGCGTGGTGGCGGGGGCCTGTAGTCCCAGCTACTTGGGAGGCTGAGGAGGAGAATGGCGTGAACCTGGGAGGCGGAGCTTGCAGTGAGCCAAGATCGCGCCGCTACACTCCAGCCTGGGCCACAGAGCGAGTACTCCATCTGAAAAAATAAAAAATAAAAATAAATAAATAAATAAACAAGGTCATTAAAAATATGATATAAACTTTCAGACGGGGCCAGGCACGGTGGCGCACACCTGTAATCCCAGCTACTCAGGAGGCTGGGGCAGGAGAATCACTTGAATCCAGGAACAGAGGCTGCAGTGAGCCGAGATTGTACCATATATATACGAATAAGGCCGGCGCGGTGGCTTCAACGCCTGTAATCCCAAGCACTTTGGGGCCGACGAACGGGTGGATCACAAGGTCAGGAGATCGAGACCCATCCTGGCTTACAATGGTGAAACCCCGTCTCTAAACTAAAATAACAAAAAATTACCGGGCGGGTGGGGCAGCGCTGTAGTCCCCCAGCTACTCGGGAGGCTTGAGGCAGGAGAATGGCGTAACCCCGGAGGCGGAGCTTGCAGTGAGCTGGATCGTGCACTGCAGCCCAGCCTGGGCGAACGAGCGAGACTCCCGTCTCAAAACAAAAAAAAAAAACAGAAATAAACTAGGAGACCCAAGCAAGCGGGAGGGAATAGGAAGGGTGAGAGGACTCATTTTGATATTTTTTTTTTTCTCTCTCTTTTTTGAGGTGGAGTCTTGCCTGTTGGCACAGGCTGAAGCTGCCGGTGGCAGCGATCTTGCTACACCCGGCATCCTCTGCCTCCCGGGTTCAAGCAGTCTCCTGAGTAGCTGGGACCACAGGCATGCACCACCACACCCGGCTAATTTTTGTGTTTTTTAGTAGAGACGGGGTTTCACTATGTTGGCCAGGCTGGTCTCAAACTCCTGACCTTGTGATCCACCCACCTTGGCTTCCCAAAGTTCTGGGATTACACGTGTGAGCCATGGCCCCTGGCCTATTTTGATATTCTTCTAATGTGAAAATTAGAAGAAATTAGAGAGAAAATCAGAAGAATTATTTTATTTTATTTTATTTATTAATTTGTCAAGAGAGGGTCTCACTCTGTGGCCCAGGCTGGAGTGCAGTGGCCCTATCATAGCTCACCACAGCCTCGACCTCCTGGGCTCCAGTGGCCCTCCCACCTCAGCCTCCCCTGTAGCTGGGACCACAGGCATGCACCACAATGCCTGGCTAATTTTTAAATTTTTTGTAGAGATGGGGGTGGGAGGGGGCGGTCTTACTAGGTTGCCCAGGCTGGTCTCGAACTCCTGGCCTCAAGCAATCCTTCCACTTCGGCCTCCCAAAGTATTAGCATTACAGGCGTGAGCCGCCACACCCCGCAGGAATATTTTAGGCAGGATATTCAAGGAAAGCCTTGCTAACGAGATGACTAAGAGGAAGTCATCTGAGTACAAACCTACGCAAGTGGGAGAGGAGCAGTGCACGCATCTGGGAAGGGCGTTCCGAGGACAGGGAGGGCGAGTGGAGGGCCCGAGGCAGCAGCACACGTGAGGTTCGGAGAACATCGTGCATCTCCCACTGAGCAGAGCGAGGAAAGGGAGGGAGGTGGGAAATGAGATCAGAGCGACATCAGTGGGGCCAGAGCAGGCACAGGCTTGTAGATAAAAGTTAGGACTTTGGATTTATTGTGAGATGGGAGTTCTTAAAAGATTTTGAATAGATTAGTGACATAGTCTAACAGGTGTAAGAAGCAAAGGGAAGAGATTTGTAATAATCCAGACAAGAGGCCGGGCGCGGTGGCTCACACCTGTCATCCCAGCACTTTGGGAGGCTGAGGCAGGAGGATCACTTGAGGTCAGGAGTCCGAGACCAGCCTGACCAACATGGTGAAACCCTGTTTCTACTAAAAATATAAAAATTAGCCGGGCATGGTGGTGGGCACCTGTAATCCCAGCTGCTCAGGAGGCGGAGGCAGGAGAATCGCTTGAGCTTCAGAGGCTGAGGTGGCAGTGAGCCGAGATCACACCATTGCACTGCAGCCTGGGCGACAGAATGAGACTCTGTCTCCAAAAAAAAAAGAGAGAAAAAGAAAGAAAGTGAAACTACAAGAATGGGCCAAACCCTGTAAGAAGTGTGTGTCCAGTGAGAAAAGCGGCTTGGGGCTGGACACTGGGGAACAGTTACCTTTTAAGACGGACAGAGGAGGAGGGGACTGCCCAGGAAATGGACGAGCAGCAGCTGGGTAGGTGGGGGCCAAGCCAGGACCAGTGTTCAGAAACAGTGCAGATCCAGGAAACAAGCAGGCACAGGCGGTGGTGCTAAACGATGCTGAGCAGTCAGGCCGGTGGGGGCTGAAACGTGGCCTTTGCAATTACAAACAGGGAGGTCATGACGATTTTGGAGAAAGGTGGTCCCTGGAGTGGTAGATACAGACTCCAGGCCATGGTGATGGGATAACAGGAAGGAGAAACACTGGTCTGCATGAGAAGTTTGAGTGTAGGGCTGTCTGTGTAGGTTTATTATTATTATTATTTTATTTTTTATTTTTTGAGATGAAGTCTCGCCCTGTCACCCAGGCTGGAGTGCAGTGGTGCGATCTCGGTTCACTGCAACCTCTGCCTCCTGGGTTCAAGCGATTCTCCTGCCTCAGCCTCCCGAGTAATCGGGACTACAGGTGTACAACACCACGCCCAGATTATTTTTGTATTTCTAGTAGAGACGGGGTTTCACCATGTGGGCCAGGCTGGTCTCAAACTCCTGACCTTGTGATCCACCTGCCTCAGTCTCCCAAAGTGCTGGGATTACAGGTATGAAGCATCGCGCCCGTCGAGGCAGCATTTATAAAATTCTATTACAAGCTAGGCGCAGTGACTCATGCCTGTAATCCTAGCACTTTGGGAGGCCAAGGTGGGAAGATTGCTGAGATCAGGAGTTTGAGGACCAGCGCCTGGGAAATACGGTGAACCTGTATCTGTACTAATACAAAAATTAGCCATGGCTGCCGACACAAAGCCCCTAACCATTCATTTTATTCCAGAATGTTTGGTATGAAAAACTTCTTCAGAGGAACGCATATTTCCCAGGGATATATTTGATTGGATACCAATGATCAAGACAAAAGCTATTCTGGGGCCAGTGGAACACGGAGATACACATTTAGTCTCACTCAAAGGGCAAGATTAAGAAATTCTTAGCCTTAAAAAATTAAAATAAGCTTCATATCAGGGATCTGAGGGTTGCAACTGTACGTTATTTAGGGCATGTAGGTATATCACATGTTAAATGGGAGGGTGTTGAAGCCAGGTAACGTGGAGCAGGTAGGAAAACAGGACGACATGGAAGTTCACCTCCCTTTGGCCTTTCAGCTTATTCAGTATTTATGCAGCTGACTAGATACTTTACAGTTCTTTCAATTCAACATTATATTTATTAGGTGGAGGAGACCTTTTTATAATTATTATAGGGTGTTCCTAATGTGCCAGGTACTTTTATTACACTATTCTCACATTATCCTGCACAACTTCGTGGAGTTTAAGGGTATTACTCTATCCGTAATGATGGTAAGGTTAGAGGGCATTAATAATCTTACCCCCATTTGATTACATAGCTGTGAGGAATGGATAAGCGCAAATTGCAAACAGCAAATTGGC